GCATTTAGAATAGCCTGTTACATATTGTGAGTGCTTCTGATGATGCTAGCTAGTATCAGCCAGTCACATATCCATTTGCTTTTCATATTCTTGTACTTTATGTGAGAGTTACCTCCTAGTTTCAAGGAAAGTGGAATCTATCGTCCAGTTTTTCCTCTTCCTTATTGCTTTTGGGTCATTTCTGTACTTTAATATTCTCCTTACAAAATTTTAAATTTTGATGTAGTCTTTTTTTAAAGATGTATTTATTTATTTGAAAGTCAGAGTTACACAGAGAGAGGAGAAGCAGAGAGAGAGAAAGAAAGAAGTCTTACACCCACTCCCCAGTTGGCCTCAATGGCTGGAGCTGTGCTGATCTGAAGCCAGGAGCCAGGAGCTTCTTCTATGTTTCCCACGTGGGTGCAGGGGCCCAAGGACTTGGGCCATCCTCTACTGCTTTCCCAGGCCATAGCAGAGAGCTGGCTCTGAAGTGGAGCAGCCGGGTCTCGAACCGGCGCCCATATGGAATGCTGGCGCTTCAGGCCAGGGCGTTAACCTGCTGTGCCACAGCGCCAGCCCCTTGATGTAGTCTTATCTGTCAGTGGATAGCCAAGACACTGGATAAAAATCAGCAGCGATTTCTTATAAAAATTCTAAGTGCAATGGGAATAGAAAAGAACTTTGCAAACATAGCCGAGTTATCATGAAGCCAGCGGCAAGCATCATACTGAAGCCATTTCCCCTGAAATTCAGGAATAAAACACAGATGTCCACTATAATGTTTTAGAAGGTTCTCACATGTAATAAGGCAAGAAAATGAAATAAGGTATATAAATCTAAAAAAGAAAAAGTTTAATTATTTACAGATGATATAATAATATATACTGAGAATCCAAGAAATATAATTTTAAACCATTAAAAAGTTCACGCAGTGGACATCTGTTGTTTTGGTTTGTTCCTTTCCTCCCTGCTTCTAGTAACAGCAGTCCTCTTCCTTTAGAATTCTGCTACTCCTTCAGTGTCCTTAAAACGTAGTCCTGCCGGCGCCACGGCTCAATAGGCTAATCCTCCACCTAGCGGCGCTGCCACACCGGGTTCTAGTCCCGGTCGGGGCGCCGGATTCTTTCCCGGTTGCCCCTCTTCCAGGCCAGCTCTCTGCTGTGGCCAGGGAGTGCAGTGGAGGATGGCCCAAGTCCTTGGGCCCTGCACCCCATGGGAGACCAGAAGCACCTGGCTCCTGCCTTTGGATCAGCGCGGTGCACCGGCCTCAGTGCGCCAGCCGTGGCGGCCATTGGAGGGTGAACCAACGGCAAAAGGAAGACCTTTCTCTCTGTCTCTCTCTCACTATCCACTCTGCCTGTCCAAAAAAAAAAAAAAAGTAGTCCTAGTGAGGAACCTTCCCCTGCCTCCCCATGGCTAGGCAGCTAACCCCCGATGGATGATTGATTATCATATCAAACACCACTGGACCCACTGGCAACTCCAAAAGGTAGACATGAGACTCAGGCCAGAGATATAAAACCTCCCTTGGAGTTTTCCAAATCAGCAGTTAAGAAGTAGATCTTCCTTTTCTTCGGCTCTTGCACAGTAAGGGTGTGACCCCAGAACAGTTGATAGCTATATTATGTCTCTATCATATAGAAGAAAGATTCTTAGAGAATGAGGCAATACAGAGGAAAGCTGAGATGGGAGATGAAGAGATGGAATGAGAACCTAGATAGTGTTTGAATTCCTGGATGTGGCTGGGTCTGCGATCTGAACTGTCCCTTCAGTTGCATAAACTAATAATCTCCATTTCCCTCTTAAGCTTATGGAAGTTGAGTTTTTGTCACTTGCAAACAAGGGCCCTAATTAATCAAGTCAAATGTAAGATAAATATACCGAACCCCATGGCATACTTTTTTTCTTCTCATTTTATTGTAGCCAAAAGACCAAGAAGCAATAAATTAAAAAACTTAAGGCAGGCTTCAGCAATCGCATGCTGATGAGGATGGGATCCAAATTTCTTTTCTTTTTTTAAAATATTTTATTTTGTAAAAAAAAACCTTTAAGGTGAACAAATTTCATGTATTTCATACATACAGATTCAGGGATGTAGTGATACTTCCTACCCTACTCTCCCCTCCCATCCTCGTGCTTCCTTGCTTATTCTTTTAATTTTTTTAAGATTTTTATTTATTTATTTGACAGGTAGAGTTACAAACAGTGAGAGAGAGAGAGAGAGAGAGAGAGGTCTTCCTTCTGTTGGTTCACTCCCCCAGTGGCCACAACGGCCAAAGCTGCGCCGATCCAAAGCCAGGAGCCAGGTGCTTCCTCCTGGTCTCCCATGCGGTGGCAGGGGCCCAAGGATGTGGGCCATATTCCACTGCCCTCCCAGGCCACAGCAGAGATCTGGACTGGAAGAGGAGCAACCAGGACTAGAACCGGTGTCCATATGGGATGCTGGTGCCACAGGTGGAGGATTAACCTAGTGTGCCATGGTGCCGGCCCCTCTTTCTCTTAATTTTTACAATTATCTACTTTCAGTTTGAATTTTTCTTTAACTATTATAGAATTGCTCCCTTTTGTTTCATTTTCCAACATCTATTATAGAAATTTTCAAACATAGGCTGGTGCTGGGAGGCAAATGAAGGAAAAACCTTGGCCTGCAGCGCCGGCATCCCATATGGGCACCAGTTCCAGTCCTGGCTCTTCCACTTCCAATCCAGCTTCCTGATAATGTGCTGAGGAAAGCAGTGGAAGATGGCCCAAGAGCTTGTGTGCCTGCACCCAAGTGAGAGACCTGGAAGAAGCTCTTGGCTTCTGGCTGAGGTCTGGCCCAGCCCAGGATGCTGTGGCCATTTGGGGAGTGAACCAGTGGATGGAAGATCTCTCTCTCCCTCCTCCTCTCTATAAAAAATAAATTTTCAAACATGCAGAAAAGTTTTAAAAATTTTACAGTGAACACCAAAACACTCACCACCTAGATTTTACAATTAACATTCTATTATTACATTTCAATAGTTTTGTCTTATCCTAGCAATTACAGAAATGGAAACATATGTATGTATTTCACAACAATGGAAAAAGTTTTGTGTGAAACACCAACAGGCACAGACAGAGCTCCAACGAAATTGGTCTCTAGAGACCAAGGATCAGTGATACAGAAAATTTTATTTTTTGAAAGGCAGAGTTAGAGAGAGAGAAAGAAGAGAAGAGGAGAGAGAAAGAAGAGGAGAGGAGAGGGGAGGGGGAGGGGAGGGGAGGGGAGGGGAGGAGGAGAGGAGGAGGAGGAGGAGAGAGAGAATGAGAATGAATCTTCCATCCCCCAGCTCATTCCCCAAATGGCTGCAATAGCCAGGTTTGGGCCAGGTGCAGGCCAGGAAGGAGACACAAGTTTCATCTGGATCTCCCACATGGGTGCAGGGCCCCAAGTACTTGGGTCTTCTGCTGCTGCTTTCCCAGATGCACTAGCAGGGAGCTAGATTGGAAGTGGAGCAGCCAGGAGTCCAATCAGTGCCCATAGGGGATGCTCTTTATCTGTTAAGCCACAGCGCCAGCCCCAGAAAATTTTAGATAGCCGATCTACTGTAGCCATATGCCACTGCAGTGGGTCGGGCGTAACACCCATCCTAGCAGCAGCTGAGTTGGAGAGCCTAGGCTTCCACCTTTGGAAAGCCATAGAGACTCCCTGCTATTTTGAATCCTCTACCTTTCCCCCTACCTCCCCCACTGCCCTCCTGTCCCTCTACCTCCTTCACCCTCCACCTCTCCCCTGCCCCCCACACCTATTTACCACAATTGGGAAGTGTTCCATCCCTCCAATCCCCCTGGAGTGGTGGCAGAAGAGACTAGAGTCAGGGCTTTCACTACTATCCAGTTTGTAAGGACGACCATCTCTCCTCATAGGTGTTGGTTTAGGAACTATGTCAATCTTCCACAGAATATCCTTGGCTTATCTGTGGATGTACCATAGGTAATACTATAAAAGAGAGAATAACCTAGATCTTTGGGAACTGTATCACTCTCACACCCTTTTTTGCTTTTGGTGTTTGCTTTTAGTGCCAACCAGGCCCGTTAGTGGAGTGGGATTTTCCTTGAAGGGATTGGTCAGAACTGCTGTCAATCATCTTGAAAGCCAGTAAAATAACAGGAAGTCCAACCTCCTAGCTTTATGAAAGGGCTCCAGGCGACAGTGTGTTTTCAGAACTCCACAGCCCTTGGGTATTGAGAGGTTGGGCATACTGAAGCCAACCAGTCAACCAAAAAATTTTTTTAAAAAAATCCACAAAATCCTATTGATCCTTCAGTGACAAGGTGAGCTAAGCTGCCCTTTTGAAATTGAAAAATGTGGGGAGGGTGTCTTTTAGAAATCAGAGGCATATGGGCCTCATTTTGGGCCCACAAAGACACATTTTAAGAGAGTTTTCAATCATTCTCACTATTGTACTAAGATTCATTATTTCCAGATGTTCAGAAGCCATATGTTAAAAGTTTTAGCCTTTACTCACCTAAATGATGTGGGGAATTTAGGGAAAAACATTAGAGTCATAGTTAACTGGAGAAAACTATCCAGAAAATTTACAATCACGGATGGATCCTCAACTATAGTGCTGAGACTATTCTAAGGAAACCATAATAGAGGAAGTCAGTGACGAGGGTCAGGTCACATGTGAGATAATATTTTGGAGAACCTACAGAAATAGCTGGAGGACACTTTAAGGGTAGTCTTTTTTGGCATTTAATCAGTGGAGGCCAAAGCCTTTGTAATTTAGAAGGGTATGCGAGACTAGTATTTTAAAATATTAGTCTGAACTAATCTGTTTTCCTATACAAATTAGCTTTAAATGAAAGAAGAAAAATAAGAATAACACCATAGGGATAATGGGAAAAGGTGTGATTAACAGACCAAAATTTTGAGGATTTTTTTGACGAAATTTAACAGATAAAATTGGTTGAGAAACCAGCGTAAATGAATCCATAACACCATACAGATATGGGACAGGGTTATTGTAAAGGTAAATTCTCTGTTTTTTAAACAGCCCCAAAATATAGAGGATGTCACACTTATCTGAATCAGGGGAAAGGAGTGATGATGAGGTCATAGAAGATGATGATGGTGAGTAAATGAACAAGTAAAACAATTAAGTCTAAATAATGGTCAACAATATAAGAACCTTGAGTAAATTATTAAGAAAATATTCTTAAGATGACATTATTGCACAGAGCATTGCCATCACTTGCAACACTGGCATAACATATCAGAGCACTGCTTGGAGTCCCGGCTGCTCTGCTTCCAATCTAGCTCACTACTAATGTGCCTGGAAAAGCAGTGAAAGATGGCCAAAGTGCTTGGATCCCTGCCACCCATGTGGGAGACCCAGATGGATCTCTGGGCACCTAGCTTCAGCCTGGACCAGCTCCAGCCATTGCGGCCATTTGGGGAGTGAACCAGTGAATGGCAGCTTGCTCTCACTCTCTGACTGTCTCTCTCCCTCTCTGTCACTCTTTCAAATAAATGAATTAAATAAATATTTTCCCAAAAGATTTTGAAAATTAAATAAATCTTTCAAGTAAGTAACTTTTTAAATGCAAAAAAGATCAAACATAATGAAGTGATTAATAAAAAATTAATAGCAAGATGGAAATAAATTTCCAGATAGAAATGGGATCAGGGGATGGTGGTCAATAGCACACTTCTGTGTTGTTCTTTGAAATGAAGAATGGAATCATGTAATATCTTATCAAAAACTTTAATGTTTGATAAAGTTTATTGTTTATAAGGATGTGGGGCAATCAGTGGTCATTCAGAAAAGGTGGATCACATATTGGTACATTTCTGAAAGGTAATATGACAATCTATCAAAAATTTAAGTATACTTTCCACTTGACCCACTTCTATTCCTTCAAATATATCCTTAAAAATACTTCTATATATACACAAAAATATATGTTTCAGGATATTCACTGCAGCATGTTTGCAGTCACAAAGAAACTGCAAGTAGCCAAATGTCAAAAAATAGGAGAATGGTTAAATATAGTAGAATGAAATAGTATACAACCATTAGGAAGAATGATATGGACCTCATGGAAATGTCTCCACTATGTATTAAGTGAAAAAAGCAAATTGTTGAATCATATGTACAGTAATAATACCATTTTTGTTTAAAAATACCATAGCTTCCTATTTGTATGTATGCAAGTATGTATGTACATAAATGCAGAGGGAAGTGATGTAACAAGCTCAACAGAGAAGAGCCACTTACACTTTTTATCCTATATTTTTACATACAGTTTGATTTATTTCTTACAAAAATAATGTATTCATATATCATATGCATATATAAACAAAACTGAAAGGTATAGAATAGAAATAGTGTGCCAAATTTCCCAAACACTAATAATTGAAAAAAAGAATGTCAGTCTGGAAAAAGTAAGGAAAAGAACAAAAAGAAACAACAGTGATGACATTTTTTAAAGTGTTAGGAATATGTACATCCATATACAGTAAACTGTGCTGCCTTTAAAGCTAGTAAAGTAGATCTATGTATACTGAAAAGGAAGCTGTCCATGGGATAAAATTAAGCAAAAAGTACAGTCCAATTCATAGAGTATGCTCCATTTCTTCTTAAAAGGAAAAACTCTGTATGTTGGTAAATGTATAGAAAAAGAATCATCAATTAACTGAGGTTACCTTTGGGAAATGAGTTTAGTTGGGGGGGCAGCGAGGGGAAACAGCACCTTTGGAGTAAAACATTGTTGAGACCTGAACATTGCTAAATGTTGGTATGATCAAGTTCCTCCCTTTCCTGTTTGAAGCCCTTTAGTGGTTACTCCATATATAGTTTATTTTTCATAATATGCGTTTTTCACAAACTTTTTGAAGACCTCTAGTAAACATATTTTTGTACCAAAATAGAGTTATTTTAATTTCATTTTCCATGAAGTCCCTGTATGTTTAGATTATCAGCCCTAGTTGTCATTTGCCATTTCTGCCAGCTATTTTTTCCAAACTGATATGTTCTTACGTTCAACAGGTTACCACTAGCTGTCTTTAAACTCTTTTAGACGTTTGTTATGTAATTTCATACAAAAATATATGTAATGTGTAATTTATGGAGCATAATAAAATATTCATAAACCCATAATTTGGCTTAACTCAGTCCCAAGTTTTCAATTCTGCAAATATTCAGTGATATAATATTTATTTCAAGATTATCATTAAGTATATACTTATTGCTCACTTTAAGTCTTTATACAGGACCATGGGACATAATGGTTAAGACTTAAAACACTGTGGCTGGCTTTGTGGCATAGCTGGTAAAACTGCCGCCTGTGATGCAGGCATCCCATATGGGTGCCAGCTTGTGTCCCGGCAGCTCACTTCCAATCCAGCTTCCTGATTATGGCCTGGGAAAAGTAGCAGAGGATGGCCCGAGTGCTTAGTCCCCTGCTGCCCTCGTGGGAGGCCTGGAGGAAGCTCCTGGTTCCTGGCTTCTGGCTCCTATCTTCAGTCTGGCCCAGCCCTGGCCATTACAGCCATCTGGGGAGTGAACCAGCCAAGGGAAGAACTCTATCTCTCCCTTTCTCTGTAACTCTTACTTTCAAATAAATAAATAAATCTTAAAAAAAATAGAACATTGCCAATGCTTTGGGGTCTACCTAAATCACACCCCCATTTCTCCTAGAGTGTTCTCTGTGGGGAGCAGCTCGGACTAGACTAAGTTACTGGAATTAAGACTTATTCTATGCATCTGCTCTCCTCTGTGGGGAGCAGCTCGGACTAGACTAAGTTACTGGAATTAAGACTTATTCTATGCATCTGCTCTCCCACAATATGGCGCTGGGAGAGAAGTAAACAGCTTCCGCACAGCTGCCTCCAGTTCAACCAATAAACTGTAGGACCTGCTCCTGATTGGAGAGCATCGTACTCGGCGTGTGGGCAGCCGAGTTGGGATTGGCGGAGGAGGACTATAAAGGAGGAGAGAGACGGCATGCACCAGGAACATCTATGGGGAACATCTAGCTGAAGGAACACCTGTGCAGCCCCCCGAGACGAGCCGGCCGGCGGTGTGCCGTTCCCCTGCGGAAGTGGGGAATGCGGCCAGGGGGAACTGCCCTTCCACGGAGGTGGAAGGGATAGTAGCCAACCCGGGAAGAACCAGCAGCAAACCCGGGGAGGGCCGAGCAGACGAAAGAACAGCGCAGGGTCCTGTGTCGTTCCTCCACGAAGACGGGGAGCGACAGTTCTCCCATACAGATCTTGTCTATTTTCCCCTCCTATATTTAAATAAGCTTACCATGTTATGTTTCCAGAAGCTTTTCTTACTTTGGAGCTTTATACAAAATGTTATAATAAAATCACATGTATTCTTCTGTGATTTGCTATTTTCATGTAACATTGTGAGACTTATATAACTGCAATTCATTCATGTTTCAATGCTATATGGTATTCCCTTATAAATATAACACAATTTGTTTAGCCATTCAGCTACCAGAGAATATTCTCTTGCCATCTTCAAGTTTATGTCAAAGGTGATGCACACTAAGAATAGAAAATTCTTAGCATATTTTGAATCACTTTATCCTTTGTGCCACAACTAAACATTCTCTAAATCTGTTTTTAGGATTTAGTATATTCAAGTACAAAGATCAGCATTTTTTTTCTGTAAAGAACTAGATAGTAAATAATTTAGGTTGTGTGGGCCATATAGTCTGTCACAACTCTGAATTCTGTTGTTTAGCACAAAAGCAGCTACAGAAGAATATATGCAGATTAATAAACAGGAATAAGTATGGCAGTGTTCCAATTAACCTTTATTTACCAAAACGGGCAAACAGCTGGATTTGGTCCACAGGCTGTAATATCCCAAAACCCTGCTCTACATATCTGCATTATTGTAGTATTGCCCAGTGTTGTGGTCTTACTATCAAGTCTGCCCTTATCTTAGTTCCCATGTTTCACACCCCATCCCTTTGTGATTTTTAGCTTGTAAATAACCAAGGAATAACCCAACCTGTAAGTCCAGTTCCTGAACTGGTGTGGCTCAAGGCGGGAAGTGTTATCAGTAGCCATAGCTCAAACAGCAAGTACCCTAGGAACTGTTGTATCAGATTTGAGACTAGAATGCTGCCTTGATTTCTCTTCTTCGCTCTTCAGAGTTTCTGGTTAGGACTGAAGCTATGCCCTCTAATAACTAGACTCCTTGCAATTTCTTAAATATGCTTTACTTATTTCACCTTCAGGATTTAAATATGCTCCTTATTGTCCTTCCTGTGCCCCCTACTCACTTTCCCTCTTGCCTGGCTGTCACTCACCCTCAGGGATTTAAATTGAATTTGTTTTTGTGGAAGCTATTCTTAATCCCCTTCCACCACCACCACCACCACCACCACCAGACACACACACTTACTCTTCTTCACTCTATTAGGCTGGGCCAGGTGTCCCTCCCGTGTTCCCAGAGCAGCGTTTATCACTCTGTGCTGTAATCATCTGCCTCACCCACTAGGCCAATTGAGAACTGAGGGCAAAAGTTGTCTCTTTATACCCACTGACCAGATCATAACGGTTCTCAGGCAAGGTTTGTTTAGTGTTTGCCTGGATTTGACCAGGAGAAGGAGCTGCTTTCTACCTTTTGTGAAGATCAACCACTGGCTGAGGGTCCATCAAGAGAATGGACTGATTGTCTAGAACCAGATTGCCACTGTCTCTGGAAATGAGCATTGCTTGCTACTTTGTCCTATCTGCTTGATAACGGTCTGAACTGCATCCACACTTGAAAATCCATTTGGGCACTGGGATTTGGCTCATCCCAATGAAGGAGGTGTTTTGTTACACCTCATTTTTTTCCTCCTAGTGAGTGGGGCTCTGAATGTGTTATCTATTACTTAAGACTATTTTATGAGGACTGGTGCTGTGGCATAGAGGGTAAAGCCACTGCTTGCAGTGCTAGGATCCCATTTGAGCATCGGTTTGAGTCCCAGCTGCTCCATTTCTGATCCAGCTCTCTGCTGTGGCCTGGGAAAGCAGTAGAAGATGGCCCAAGTCCTTGGGCCCCTACACCCATGTGGGAGACCTGGAGGAAGCTCCTGCTTTCTGGCTTCAGATCAGCAGAACTC